TCTCCCGAATTGTTCCTTGATACTCCCGGCATAAAAACAGAATGCTAGCCTCTTCTTTCTTCCGCATCTTCTTCTCGTGCAGCATGCTGCAGCATCCACGCAGTTCTTACGCGTGGATGATAAACGGCGTATTTTGTCCCTGGCGTTCTCTACGATATACTCTCACTCGCACAGCTAATTACATCAATTTTGCTACAGCCTCACAGCAATTCAAGTATTCACTCCGCGGCCACTATTTCGCCTCGTGCTCATTTCCTTATAACTCCACAGTTTATAACTAACTCTTTTATTCACAATTCTAATACGTCGATTTCTCCATCCTTTTCTAACTACTTTTTTCCACGGGCAATTACTTTATCACATACTCGCCAAGATGGTGGCTATCACTCCTACTCCACGCAACGGTAACCGCACAACCGACCTGGTCGACGCCTTTCTCAAGAAGAAGGAGCGATCAGCTGTTCGGCCTCTCCTGGAAGGATAACACCGCGTCACAACCCCTACCTACTGACCTCTCGCGCTCGCCATAAATTGTAAGTCCGGCGGCTGAGCTGCGGGCAGCAGATACTAGACCGCGCTCTTTCGCACTGACCACAGCGGTGTGCATATGTTGCTGGGACGTGTCTGGGCGGCGCCGTGGCTGCGTGGGCGGCTGGGGTGTTTGGTCCATGTACCAAACAATATATATATATATATATATATATATATAGATATATATATATATAGATATATATGTATATATATGCATACGTACATACATTAATACATATCGTTGGAAGATATTTGTAGAATAACATTTTTCTGCTTCTTATATAATTCTTTAATACATTTCCTCTAAGCTATATTAACAGCACCGGCGCTAGGCATGGGCAGACCGGGCAATTCCCCGGGGCCACGATAGTCAAGGAGCCCGATGATAGAACTGATGGGTAGAAAATTAGTAAGAAACATCCATATCATGAGAAAGTTGAGCATGCCAATAAAGCATCACCAGTGAGACAGTACAAATTGAGTCCAGTCTGTTCACTTTATGAGCCTTCCCTCATAAGCTACCGAGAGAGTGAACTGGAACTGGGAGAGATGGCTCATGGCATCAACCGATGTCACTGCAGTTCCTCTAACCGAGAGGTCCTGGGGTTTGAGTCTCGACGGTGGCAGGACTAGCCAGGTAGCTATGTCGAGTTCTGCCGCTATCCGGAGGAGAATTCTAACGGTCGGCTGCTCTGGTCGGTAGTTTTTCTTGGTGTCTCCGATCAACACCAAGCGATTGCCGGGGCAGTACAGCAGTACCTTCACAAACGGGCCACTGACCACTCGCGAACTTTCCTTCCCATTCCTTGAAATATCCTACCCTTTACTTACGCTCTTGCATGCGCTACACTAATACACATACCGGGAGACCGGTCGGGAGCTTAGAGCTTCTCCCGACTGGCGTGGTGCCCCGCTGGTGGGATACACGTGGTTGGGGAAACCCTGTTAGCCGAAAGCAGGTCAGCGTCGGATCTCACCATCCAGCGGGGAAGATTACCGCCACCTCCCGCGATAAAATCATGCACTACACTTAGGGGGCTAATGACCTTAGCCGTTGAAGCGGCCGGAATCACTAATCAATAAAATACACCCACCGAGAGGGTGAAGCCGGGTAGGTGGAGTCGCTCGAGGTGCGGGTGCGAGTGCGGGCGCGAGTTCAATTTCCTGGCTTTGCTGATCACCAGTGACGATCAATGATCGGTGAAGGAAGGTGAAGGTGACTTTTATTTTTAAAGATATGTTAGACTAATACTAGAAACGTCTGTAGAACTACGAAGGTCGTCCAGGAAGTAACAACTGTTTGCCATTCCTGCCGCGCAGGTTATAATCCGCCCCAACTCAAGCTACACTGATTTCCCCGACATTTTTTCTCAGTATTCTGTGGGTTCAGACAATTGGTGCCTCACTGATATTTTTGACTCGGTATCACGCAGATGGAGACACCTTTCTTAATCAGATCGTCACTGGCGATGAAAACAGTGTTTCCCATTTCACGTCAAAGACCTTGACCGTCAATCACTCAGATGGCTTCATCCATCTTCACCCCAAAAAAATCAAACAGACTCTATCAACGAGAAAATCATGGCGATGGAATTGGGGGATCACAAAAAGCTCATTTACAAAATTATTCATAGTAAAGGACAGTAAAATACTATTGAATACCGGTACATTGATAGTGCCTTATAAATAACCATTACCAGAAAATCTACTCTTGATTATTCTGTAATAGTATCAATCAGAAGAAAGTCTTATCTACTTACAGTGCTGATCCACTGTTTCTGCTGTCACTTTACCTTATTTTGTAGGAATTCTGCTCTTTCTTGGTAACTTGGCTTATATAAAATCATGTTTCTGCTTCTGAAGGATTGTACTATTTATTACGTCTTTTACAATTCTTTAGTTAATACTTTTCAACTGTAGTGTCAATCATAGATAAAATATCACATTTTGTACATACTTTTGGAAGTAATAAGAAATTAAAAATAAAGTTGAAATCCTCGGTGCATTGTACCAGGTAATTAGCTTCCCCTCAATTGTGAAGATCAACTTCTGTGATTTCATTCAATGGCAAAATGATTATTTCAAAATTATCACGTAGCGAACGGACAGCTTTTACCCAGCAGTACCATCAAGTATCACTGAGAGACTTTAAAGTCAGTGTTCCACCACTGAATATCTGAAAAGCTGTACAATTTTTTGTCAAAAATGCTGTTTTTGAGCTGATTTTTTTATGAAGTTACCAAGACTTTATACAGCAGCTACACCGCAGTATAGCTCTGAAGAAGACCACAGCAAGATGGCCGAAACGTCCACACAATTGACCGAGACACGGCTCATCCCGGGCATCATACGAGTATTCGTATGTGTATAATAAACCGGAAATACTCTTTCTGTTTGTAAGTTAACTCACATGTTAAGACTCATGATTTTAGGCATGGAACTTATTAATGTGAGATATTCACAGTAACGTAGAACATTATCCTGCTCGTTTTATAACACTGAACTGAAATTCATCAATTTATTATTGTACATTATTAGCTCATCTTATTAAAATTATTTTTCACTTAATTATTATTAATTTTTTTCTCAAAATACAGAAAAAGTAAATCTTTTATAATATAAATTTGAAAATCCGCAAAATTAAGAGAAAAAAGGTGTTTAAAAATATTGTCCCAACATTGGGGGGGGGGCAGTTGTCCCCTCTTGCCACCCCTGCCTCTGATGCCAATAGTAAATAATACATTACACATTGTTAAAATCATATTAATTTTCTTTTTGTTGCTTGGTCTAGTCTTTAATTGTAAAGAAACAGTTATGCAGCAGAAAATGAATTTACTTGCCACTTAAAAATTGTGTTTTGATTTAATTGTCTAAATGTCATTTGACAAGGTGTAGTAAAATAACGTTCTTGCATGTATTGTAGGTGAATTCTTGAAAGTGAGCTAATGATAATATTGCAAGACCTTCATTGGTATGAGCCTAGAAGAAGCAATGCGAAAGGCAAAGAAATGAAAAATGTGGAAAAATACTTTGGAAGCCATGTAGATGGGTCACCTAACTCCTATCTATGGAAGAACAGGATCAAAGAATTGTTAATACAAATGAACGATTTCATTAATTCTATTAATAATTATTTTCAATTAATCATTTCCTTCTCTAGACTTAATTTAATTTAGCACTCTCACATGCAAAATTTGAGTATACTATCTTCATTTTGTCCAAGGTTCAAATAAAACCTCAACATATTTTGTGTTGAATAGCACAATACTCTTTTGGATTTAAACCTCCCATAGCACTCTTACATGCAAATTTTGAAATTTTGGATGTACCATCCAAATCCCCATGTTTTCCCACCCTTTAAAAAGACTTCCCCGAGTCACAGAATCACAATTCAAACTGCTGAACTTAAAACTTACAATAGCACCCCTACAAGTGAATCTCAAAATTTTAAATATACCTTCAATTTATCCCAGTTTGTCTAAGCATTAAATAGTTTTGTCCAAGATGTGCAACACAATAAATCAAAAAACAGAAGTTGAAAGTAATTCACACTAGCAACCTTATCATTTTGCAGTTTTCCCCAGTCTTTTAAAATGTTTTACGTAAGTCATCCAACAGGGTAACTTCAAACCAGAAGTTGAACTTAATTTACTCTAGTACACTCACATACGAATTTCGTAATTTTTGAATATATCATAATTTTGCTCAAGTTTGCACTTTAAGAAGTTTTCCCAAGACATACAACACTGTGAACCATCACTGACATTTGTTACAGACATGTCCTTTGCAATGACATTTGTTACAGGTATTTCCTTTGGCAATGAGACAATGAAGGCACTAGATGGGCAGTGGTGGTGATGGGTACTAGATGGGCCTTTTTCCTTGACTTAAGTCTAATTCAAGAAATGATTGTCCTTAGAAATTAAACGCTCATTCTTAAAACAGAGGAAGTGTAAGAAACCATGCTGGCCTTAGAGAAGATCTTCCTGGTAACATATTTAAACAAGACAGTGGGATGAACATGATGAAGAAAGAGAAAACAGGAGCACCCCACAAAATCATGCAGCAACCCCATATTTTCCATCGCACATTCTAAAGTGAGCTTCAACTCAAAAAATTAATGATGATATTTTAAATTTAAATATTTGAAAGAAAAAATGGGGGGGAAATCCAGAGATGACTCCAGTTATCTCCAGGAATTCTCCAGTTATCAATGTTTTTGTTGTAGGGTGAAATAAGGAAAGAAAATTGGTATGTACCTCTTGTACTTCTTAACTAATGATTAGATGGGACATAAAGACTTTCTTCCAATGGAACATTTCTGACAGGAAAATCACTAGGCAATAAAATAATTACACCTTTAGTACTTAATATGAAAATTAATTTGATAAACTCAACAAAAAAAATAAATTAAAAAATTAACATGCAAAAGGAATGGTACAGAAAAAATTACAATGTTACTTTTTCTTAATTGATATTATTTTCAAATAAATAGATCATCATTTGAGCAATACAATACTAAATTTCTAGCACCCAACAGAATAAAAATTATTATTCTCATTTATAATTTCCCACTAGGCTACCACATGAAATATCAGAAAAATTATTACAATCATGTCCTTTATAAAATGGTTTGTACAAAACAATGTATATAATATAAATGTAATACAATTAACATACAATTTTTACGTTAAGAAAAAATAAGCCTTTGGCAAGTTATTTTAGAAAACAAGGAACTTTTATTTTCATGAAAGGGTGCACTTTTAATTCACAGTGCTGTTGCAGAAATTACTAAATGAAGTAAGTACTATTTGATAAACAAATTTTACTAATGAGCAAGAGATTTGGACATTCTCTGACTTTGATTTTTTTGAAGAGTATTGTTAATTCACAGTGAAATTCTTAACAACAGTAAATGTTCATGACAAATTCAGTAATAAAATTGTATAAAAAACAAATTTCAATTTGTAGTTCATAAAATTATTTACATTCAGAAATAAAATCAAGAAAAGAAATCTGTTTAAAAATATTTTCATATGAATAATCCATCAAAAATTACAAATAAAGGCATTTGACTTCGACCAAACATTGCATTTCTCACACATAAACACTTCATTTATAAAACCATGACTGTATTTAAAAAATTGCAAATATTTTAACATTATAAGCAAAGGAAAACACTTTAAGACTCACATTATGTACAGGAGTTAAAGTTCTGACATTATTGTGGTGCTGAGCACAGAAATTCATTTTCACACTTTTAATACATCAAAGTGTAAAAGAACTATGATTCAGTAGCTGTGTTCATATCCAATTATGTGTTTCTCAATTTCTCACTCAGGCCATTAGTATTCATGAAGATTAAGAAGAATGACCTCAGAATAAATTAATTTTTGTGAAAATAAACAGAATAAACTATGTTATGAACAAGAAGAAAATAAAATGTGAATAAATATTTATGATTTTAAAATTCAATAATGAATCTGATGAAACAGATATTTTCTGCATATTCACTTTCATCGTAATCCAAGTTAAACCAAAGGGACAGAAATTATTGCTATTACCCTAGCACCTCTGTTTGGATACCTTTCGATATCACCTATATATAATACATAGTTGTGGGTGTGTATCATGGTTTTTGTAACCGTCACTACTATAACTGTAAATAAATATTTTCATTAAACTTCAAAATAATAATTGTTCTTTTTTTATTAAACAAAAGATTGAATTCATAATATACTAATTTCCAATTCTTGAATTTTTTGAAATTCAAATGTTGTACAATGTTGGTCCCTTCAAGTCACTTCTAGTCTCTCTTATATTCAGAAAGAAAAATAATTCTTTAAAAAAAATTTAAAGAAACTCAACTTCTCTTATTTAACATGTTATAACCAATTATCTAAATACATACACACAAAAAACATATAATTTATAAAACAATAATTTGAAGATTAACATGTGGCAGCCTATACAAACAATATCATTCTCCTGATAACATGCATACATTAAAATAATCATTGCATTTTGCGCCCATATACTTCGATAAATGAAATATTATTTTGTACAGTGTAATATCAAACAAATACATGAAACAATATTGTGTCATGCAATACATTCATTCTTGGTCGCAAAAAGAACATTCTTTTCCAACAAACAACTGAAACATTCAGGAACAAGTTGAAAATGAGCACCTATTTAAACTTCATTAAAGAAAATTTAACATGCTAGAGCACATGTATAAAAGACTAAGAGTACATGCCAGCATGTACAAATAGCATATGAATAAATTACCAACGCTGCAAATTCATTTACACTAACAACTGTCTTTGTCTACTTATCCTCTCTAACAGGCCTTTAAAAATTGTCATTTGGTAAGTGAAGAGCAAACAAAATTAATTTATAAAATGTTTTTACATTCATGTTGCAAGATATTTAGTAAATTTCTATTAAAGAACACTAATATCTTCTCTTCTCTAACAAGATAAAATCAGTCTTGCTTTAAAGTTGATTAAACTGTGGCATTTTAGTGCTAGTGAAATTGTGTCCAATTTGCAGGAGAACTCTGCCTTGGCGGTGGCACGTCTGACTGTGAGCACATCTGAACTCTAGCAGGGAGAATTTCTTGAAAAGGATCCTTCGAAATCGATATTTGTGGTCCTTGACTTTGAACAATTCGTTGTGGCGAAGTAGAGGCAGGAGATGAATTCTGAGAAGAGCCATTGTAAACACTTAATTTACTGAAGTCCAGGCCGTATTCACGCAACAAGAAATCAGCATCTAGATTGCTTGAACTTGCTTTTGCATTATCAGACCCTCCTTGCGAAGATGTGAAATAAGGGTACAATGGATTTGCAAAGCCTCCAGCAAGTTCAGGTGGTGGGATTGTTCGTTTATCTTTGGCTGCAAGAGGATCAAACTCAACTTCCTCTTCTTCTTCATCACTTGGTGTTGAATCCAATTCAATAAGATCAGTCTGTTCAGGCTGCAAAGTAACAGTTTTATTAGGAACCCTATATTTATTAACCCAATATTATGAAAAGTTTTTGAAATGCAAGAAGTCATTTAATTTAACAATAACCTACAACCGCAGATGGGTATTCATGCCATTTCATTACAGTTGCACTTCTAATACATTAACCTGCTCTATCTTCAAAATTAAACTCAAAGAACATTCATTTTTAAACATGGAAATCTTTCCATTTGGGTACTTTTTTTTGTTGACCAAATTTAGTTTTGTCCATTGAGTTCAAGTAGGGTTCCATGTTTCCAGAATAAAGAAACAAATATTATTAGATTTACAATATGTATCTAACGTAGTCAATTTATTAACAATAAAATATGTTTAATTTCTGTAACTTTACATTTTAACAAATAGAACATAAAATTTTTTTGTTAATGTTTATACACAAGTGTTAAAAGCTCATAATTTATAAAACACTACAGGTGCTCATAAAATAACAAAAGTGAGGCCAAGAAATGGGGGTAGTTTGATACCAAACAGACTTAAGTAGCATTTAAATATTTGCCGCTTCTGCTCAGACGGAAACCAAATAGTTAACTGTTGTTTGACACAAAATGTTAGAATGGATTTTTGTTCTGGCACACCTGTTTCAATTTGTGCTGGAAATTTATCAAATATTGCTTTTCATTTGGAACCCCCCAAAAAATTCTGAAGCTCTGTTTATTTTCAATGAAGAAATAATGATTGTATATGTTTCAACAAGATCATATCACAGTATTCAGGCTATCAGTGTAGATAAACCTTAAGAGCCATGAAGAAAATCTTCATATCACAAATGTCGAAGCGTTAGTTTAATGCACATTTTTTTCACCACTTTAATATCTTTTATTATAACCATAATAAAGTCTCTTATTCAAATTCAATGAGTTCACAAAGCATATTTTAAAGGAATTTTACAAAGATATTCAATCAGACTAGTTTTGATAGAAAAACTTTTATAACAAATAAAATTGCAAACAAAATAAAGTTTTGATCAAATTGAAAACAATGGTGCATCCAATTGAAAGCCAATAAACATTTTGTTTCTTGGCTGTAAACTTCTATTACATTGGGAATGATAACAAAAAACAAACAGAATATATAAATGTAGTAAATAACGAAAAGTACTATTTCATTTAGTTAATTTTTGAAAATAAAAACTACAAATTTGTACATTTGTTAATAAGAATAAGACATCAAAACAAATGCTTATGGTGAATTTATCTAAATCTGTGTTCAAGAATAACATAAATTCACATGTGGACCAGGTAAGAAAGACAAAAAATGAATTGAAAAATGAATTGAAAAATGAATTGGTGAATATGTTTTTCCAACTCACAAGTCAGTTTGTATGAAATTCAAATATATTCTTTTCTTTTAATCCTGGTTTTAACATAATACAATCATCTTTTGAAACAACAAAGGCACCTATTTATATAACTTATAACATAACACAACATAACTCACAAAAAAAAAAAAAAAAAAACTTAATCTGAATAATTTGACATTAAATTTCAATTTGAAAGGTATGTGATATTTTAGTAGAAACACCTGTTAATTAGAAGATAATTAGTTATTTAATTCGTTCAGTAATTTTTAAAATAAAAGTGAATAAACGCTTTTTGAGATTGACACTGCAGCCACAGAAAACTAACTTGACTAGATAGTTAATTGTAATTTAACTGAACAATCCAAACAGTTTATTAAAGTTTTTTATTGAAATTTTAGGTATGTACAAATATCAGCATACAGAAGTAATCACGACTTCTTCCTTTTTATCCACTACAATACCTCCTTTGGCTGCTAAGTCTTGATAAAGTTGAGCCCTATTACACAGTATCGGTATTCAATTAATACAGACAATAGTAAACATTAGAACGAATGACAAGAATCAAATTTTATAAACTTATTGCCTTCATAATGTGATGGATCATCTTGGAGTTTGATAAGAATCTATCATAAAAAGTTACGAATATGTTACGAATGCAACAATGGTAATGCAATCGAAAGTATAAATAAAGAAAAATATTGGGCAGTAATGGTTATAATAAAAAAAAAATACAGTGTTAATATTAGTATCAATTGTAGTTATGGACACATGAGGAATTTCCGTGGATAATAAATACAATTAATAATATTGAAAGAAACCAGATGTCCAAGAGTAAATATGTTATTAGCTAAACAAGCAGTTAGCCAGTCAGGAGGAACATGAACATTAGACAATGGATGGGGGATGCACAGAAAGAGAGAAGATTAAACGAGTTTGAAATCCAACTGGACAAAGAGGACGATAATTGAAAGGCAGGAAATATAACTTGCTGGATAGACCGATTTGTTGCAATGGAGGAGAGAATTATTTGAGCAATGGTAGAGGATGGGACACAGCTGATTACATATACATATACATATACATATACATATACATATATATTATTTCGTATATATATATATTAGTTGCACAGTAAAGTTATTACAGATCGTGATCGGAAGTTTAGTGGTGTAATCATGAACAAAGTAGTTCAAGTGAAGAAATTTAGAATGATTTATTTGCAGTTAGCACTTAAATAAAACAGAACAGGACCCAGAGGCAGCATGGTGTAACATCACCAATGGCAGGAGATGAAGTAACAACAATAGCTGTTCAAGCATGCGGAGTACCCGTGTGTGCGTGCACGAAATTGTGTGAGTGGTGCGTGAGTGGGTGCTTGTGTGTGCGTGTGTGTGTGTAAATAATAGTATGGATGTGATGAATCGATTGTGATAAAATTTATGTTTTTTCTTCAACTTCTTGTTGTGTGTGAATTTAATTATTGCAGCAAGATTTGGAGGTTGTAAGAGCAGGTAACAATTGGAAATTATCATGTTTTTCAGAAAAATCAATGTTTTAATTTTTATTTTTCCAGTAATTGAGTTGAATAAGAAAATCAATAAATTATTCCTTACATAAAACTTTTGTACTTGCGATTCCATTTGAACAAGTCTCTCGACCCACAGAACAAAGGGTATAGCCAGATAAGGCAGTGAAAAATGCCCTCAAACCACATTGATATTCGCGATGCTCATTAGAAAGAATACAAAATGTCATAGATTCGCAAAAATTCAGCCTCCTAGGATAATCTGTTGCCGAGACACAATGTGAAATACTTTTTTCGTTGTTGTTTCTCTAAGCTTCTTGTGCATGTATCAGGGTAAAAAAATTACAGACACAGACCAATAGTTGCATTTGAAGGTATTTTCGTGAACCAATTTGACGCCAAATTCAAGAAGAAATAAATAAATACATTTTAGAAATTGATTTTCAACTTGATAAATTTGGAGTATTGTTTCAGTTTTTCTTGCTAGAATGTGTTTTTACAACATTCTAAAACATACGTTTTTCACATTTTTAAACAATGTGGATTATAGTGAAAAAATATGAAAACTAATTTGATCAGTTTAAAAATTTGAAATTCACGCCACAATGGGGTTGGAAAAATATATTTTTCACCAATGTTGAAACAAATTATTTTTAAATTATTGAAAAGTCTCGCTTATCAGCATGATTACTTTTTTCTGCCAAAAGTTTGTTTTTATGGGGTAAGTATTTATATTACCAAAATAAAATCATATAAATTCTTTTTTTATGTATTTATGCATGGTTTCCGATGTAAATCCAATTACTCGGTTTTAAATATATAAATCATTCATATTTATAATTTAAATCAAATTACTCAGGTGTAGATTTATTAATCATTAACAATTAATTATTGTCATTCTTCTTAAATATCTGTTTATTTATAAACAGTATTCAAAATTTCTGAGTATGGGTATTTCTTTAACAATTTTCGTCAAGTAACAAGCCTGTGTTAAATAATATTTGATCGCAGCTATGTAGGAGTAGCATCCCAGGGTGCAACTTCCGTATGCGCCTTCACAATACATATAGTTTCACTCCCGATATTCCCATGGTGAAAAGAGATGGGTGGGCTCTTGGGGTGCACCAATTTCTGCTTGCTCTGCGCAGAACCAGTTTGCATCACAAAACACGTAATCACAAAATATGCAATTCGCTTGAAAAGCGAGACCAGAAGTTGGCCCCACCATTGCATAGAGTGCAAGAAGTGATGAGAAACATTTTGAAAGAGGCATAAAGTGACAATTTTCAACAGTGATCAACTAAAATAAACATGATGAAGGTGTAATTGAAAGAAAAGATGCAATTCAAAGATGCAAAGTTCCAATAACTGGTAACTGAGCATTTTGGCATTCAATATTCCTGCCAATATTATGAGGCAAACTGTTGCCTCAAGCTCTTTGACTGACGTTGGATGCGTAAGGACCCACCCATCTCTTTCCACCATGGATATTTCGATTGAGCTTGGTAAATAATCGATGCAACACATGTAAGATTTCAAATTCATATACTGTAATTAAATCTGTTAAATGTTGGTAAAAACTATTTTTTCCAATCGCATTTAAAGGCAAATTTTTAATCTCATAAATTTAAAAAAAATTGTTTTTCACTATTGTCCACATTGTTTAAAAATCTGATAAAAATATATGTTATAGAATGTTATAAAACACATTTTAGAGGAGAACAGGGAGAAAAATTGAGATAGTACTTCAATATCATCGTTATCATTTCAAAAATAAATTTCAATTATTTTTTTTCTATTTGAATTTGGCCTCAAAATTGGTTAACAAAAATGCCATCAAATCCAAATATTTGTCCCTATCTCTGTATTTTTTCAGCATGATACATGCACTAGAAGCTGAGAAAAAAATAAAACACAAAAAATGTGTTTCTTGTTTGTTTGTTTTTTATCTCTGCATCAAATTGCCTCAGGAGGCTGGTTTTTTGCAAATCTACGACATTTTGTATTCTCTTTCATATGAGCATAACAAATATCGATTAGGTTTAGAGGCACTTTTCACCACCTTACCCGTTATACCCTTTTCCTGTCACCAGCAACAATTCCCTTGCTAAATAAGATGCGTAATTACTGAGCAAGCTAAAGAAGACAAAATCTCAAACATTTTCTTGGTAAATAAATAAGTAACTTTGTGGACATTAGGAAGGGGAGCATAGCGGGGAATATCCCACATAATTTAAATTTATTTCAGAGGACTGAATATATTTATTGATATTAAAATAAACTAACACGGTAAACCGCAGACGGATAGACCTAATTTGGGGCACATGGTTTATTAATGTTTAGATTAATTTTTAGATAATCTGGGGTACATTATAAGAAATAGATGAAACCCACTCAAGGAAGTTGCACTTATTTTGTAATTATTCCATTGGATAGAATATGATATGACCCAAACGTTAGATTTTTAATTATTAATTATTCTAAATTATTGAGATTTGTTTATATTACGTTTTCCAACACACCAAAAGTGACTCAAATATTTTTTAAATCATATAAAAAGCATGGTAGTCCATTTAGAATTATTAAAAATATGCAACATATGACTGTATGGCAATTTGAATATCAATACCATATCAACACAGTTTTAATATGATAGCAATATTTTTAAATTAAAAAACTAGGGGTAACCCAACAAAAACAACAGAGTGAAAACATCTAACACAGCATTACTTGTGCTTTCTTTCATTATGTGATTACTTGCCTTTTAAATTTGATCTAACAAATGTTAATATTGTATTTATCATTAAAAAATTTAAAAAACAATTATAACTAGTGGCTTGCAGCGGCAAAAGTGCTGCTGAACAAACCCATAAGAGCAACAAATGACATACAGTTGTGTATCACTGCAATAAATTAAATATTAACATTCTCCATTGATATGATATATATACATACAGTACAACAGTTCTTTACATACCAAGAATTTTCTTCTCCTTGGTATGTAAAGAACTATTGTACTGTGTGTGTGTGTTTATGTATGAAAGAGTTTCACTTATGCATCAAAAAGTCATATTACCTTCGGTACAATACGACATGGGGAAGATCCCACTGATCTACTGCCTCGGCCTCTGCTACCAGGAGGAGGTGGAGGTGACAAGAGTGGAGTTAAAGATGTTTTGGGTTTCAGCTGAAAACAGGAAGATAGTGTCATTTTCTCACATACAGATATGAATGATTTATGCATTTCATTCCTGTTCTTCGAGAAGTTTTTTCATGGCCCATATTTGGTGGAATACTTGTATATTTCATTAGTTTCATACAGAAATTACACAAAAACTTATTTTTTCAAAAAGTTGTACTTGTTAATTTTAATGAACTCATTTTTTAGAAGAGATGTTGTTGAAGGCAAAAAATCTCTTTTCAATCTTGTACTTTTCAAATCTTAACATATTGCAATTTTCGGAATTGAGGGTTCAATGAAAATCAGACATGGGCCATTATTTTAAGCATTCCTTGTTCTATCTATGGTAAAAATTTGAAGAAAAAAGTTGGAAGGGTTTTTGAAAAAATGTTTTTTTTTAATTGCATAAATTTAAAGCACAAATTACATAAAAACCACTAATTTTCACAAAAACTGTACAGGATCTTTTTTCAAGGTCTGATTTTTTTGAACAGATTTTGTTTAAGACAAAAATTTCTATCTTCAATTTTGTGATTTTTTAAAGTTTTGCACGTCGAAAACAGGCAATATGCTGGAAATGAAAAGAGTGCCATTTTTTATTGACCTTTTATACACATGAGATTAAAGAAAAATTTGGATCTGTGTTTGAGAAAAAATTGTTAAAAAATGTTTAAATCACATGCAATAAATTATGTGAAAACGACTCAAATATTTAAACAATTGAACATGATCTTCTTTCAAGATTTCTTTAAAGAACAGATGTCATTAAGGAATAAAATCTCTTATCTTTAATATTGTAGTTGTAGGAAGAAGCTCAAAAAAATTGAACCTTTGCCATTTTCAAAAAATCAGTGATTACAACAAAAAATGCGACCTGCACCCATCATTCTCTTAAGCGTCCTTTATGCTATGAAGGAAAAATTTAAATCAAAACATTTGGCACATTTCTTAAAAAAATTTGCGAACGTTGAGCCTTTGTGTAAAAGACCCTCAAAAATCAAAATATCCATTTCAAACTCACAAAGTTTTGATTTGCTTCAGATTGGTCAAGGAATATCAATTTTTGAGAAAATTGACAGAACGGTTTAGGCAATTGCGTTGACCACAGATGAACTGATGTTTTGTGATGATGAATCAATTTCAAGGACCAATGGACTACACAGTGCATCAGAGGAAGTAATTTACTATTTATGTGAACAAGATTTATCTACTTTTTCATTAGCAAGGCCTGGAAAGAAGAGTTTTGTTGCAAAAATTTACCATTTTCCAGAGCACAATCGGAGGAAGTAAAAATCTAAAGAAATATCTTTAATTTCTCTTTATTTCACTCTTCCTCCTCCTTTCTTTTTCCCCTTCCCATCTCAGTTGCTCACTTGTTGTTTTTTTCTAATACAAAGGGGGGAAATATTTCCTCTTTTTTTCTATGGAAATACTTTGGTTGAGTCTTTCCCAGTTTCAGAGTAATGATAGCCTTTGACAATTCCAGAAGGTGTCCATCGATTTACCACAAAAATGTATATCATGGAATATTTGTTTGAAAAAGTTATCAGATTTGGATGAAACTGATATTTACACTTATGCATAGACATTTTTATGTTAAATTAAAATAGTAAACATCTCTCACAGAATGTACGCTTATACTTGCTTCTCAATTGCCTTATTTTAATTATTAAAAATTAATTGTTGAAGTCTTTTTAGAAATTTGGAAATGTTTTCTTGTTTTTATTATTATTATTATTATTATATTATTATTATTATTATTATTGAAGAGGTTAAAAAGCCCCTGTTGTGGCATTTGCATTGTTTTTTGAAACTTGACATATAATTTTTCCAGTCTGATATATATAAAAAACACACACACACGTGAAAAGAGGACACTGTACATTTGAAGATATAAAATAGGCAATCATAACTAATTGGTGTAACTTACACTTCTGTCAACTGCAGGAGGGACATTTTGAGGGAATTGAGGTGTAGTTGATGTAGGCAATCCAAGTAAGTCTTGTAAGTCACCCATTAGATCCAACTCGAGAGGAGAGGGTTCTAGCAGTGACTCAGAAAATGCACTCTGTGATACTTTATGACTTGGACTTGGTTTTTCATTTACCCTAAAGTCGAAATAACAAGTTTGTAAATTTAAAGATTTTACAGCTACCTAGAAAATTCTTTTACATTCAATATACAAAATTAATTATTATTAATAATCCTTATTTTAACATAATTATAAACAATGTGCTTACATCTATATCACCACTTTTATTTCAGACACCCACTTAAAGCTTTATTTTGCATCATGTATCTTAATCTAACTTACCCTGAAGTTGGAAAATGAGGTGGCAGAGGTTCAATATGTGTTGGACTACTGGGAGTTTCATTTCTTCCAGCTGACACATGAGAAATAAAATCATCATTTGATGGTTGAGAATCACGAAATTTGGATCGGATGCCTTTGTATGCAGTACGCACCTCTTTACCACGTTCTTTAACCTGAAGCAACAAACAACACTTAATTACTGAGCATTGAAAATCATGTAATAGATGATAAATTTTTAGAATTATTTCATTACAAACCATAGAAACCATTTAACCATAGAATGAGATATTATTATATTAAAACAGATAAAATTAAATAAACATCAAATAGAACAAACAAATTATAAACTATCATTTGTGTACATATGTGTATGTGCACAGCCCATTAGGGGTGTATACAGACGGTGCTTCACATTTTGTACTTTACATTTAGGAGGTATTGTAGGTGTGTGGCAGTTATGGAAAATGTAGACAACGTGGGATCCTTTTCAAAAACAAGTCTTTGTACATGAAGCCAGATGAATATACATCCAAACTCCTATAGATATTTCCTCTGGAGGTACATATCCCTGCAGTAATAGTATAATGAACATGTATTCGTGGCAATATCACTGTCAGTTTTCCATCAAAATTATGGATAATTCAAGGTCTTTATTTCATATCACAACCCATGACTGGGAACATTTGGCTTGTTGTGGCAATTTGGCAACCAAGTGAAATACTCCTTTGGCATCTCTTTCACTGTAAGCAACCCTCGGAGTCGTGTACCCTCAGATTTCAGGATGGAGGAATGTTGCTCCTTTAATTTTTGTTGGAAGAAGAAGAAAGCACTTTTTTTCTTCTTAGTCAGTTATTCTTTCTTGTTTCATTTATCTTCATGATTCCAAAGAACAAAGTCCTTGAAAGAAGAATTGCCAAAATTATCATTTTAAGAGCCATAATAATTTCTTTTTACAATTATTTTCAATAATTCAGTTCCTCCATGGAAGAACGCTGGATGTGACAATTTTATCAAAAATGAGATTACGGAGAAAAAACTTTGCAGAAGCCGCCTTATTATAGCTTAGACAAATGCTGAAAAATTTCACTTAGTTGTTACTGTCATCTTCGTGTTGACATCTGTGGAAAAAGGTTGGTTGTTGTAACAAGATGACTGACCATAAGGATTTGAAGTTATCACCTTCGATGATGAATAACAAATTTGTCAAGAAAGAGGAGGATTTGCTTCAATAAATGGAAAGATAATTTTAGGAAGATGGCTAGAAACACAGGGAATGAAAATTCCAATAGAAAAGGAAAGAATTTCCCTTTAATAAGTCCTATTGAGGTAAGTGGAAGAATATTGCTTATTGTTTTGCAAATTGCAGTTGTGTGCTCTTGATTTTAAAGGCAACTATTTTAAAATACAATAATAAAAATTTGCAATTAATATTTATAAAAAAAAGTGAATATTTGTAATAATTATAATTATGTTATTTATTATAATACATATTTATAATAAATTATAAAAACAATAAATGAACCCAACATTCTAATTCAAATGTCAATTATTTAAATGAAATTTCATTTATTTATAGTAATTGTTTATTGCGTTCCAAATTTCATAGCAAATTTTAGCTTATTCAAAACAATAATTTATAACATACAATATTTTTCCATGGGAAAAAAATGTATTCCATAGGACAGTAAGTCACATCCAACTTCCTACCACTGAAGGCACAACAAAACACCAAATTTTATGAAAAATAAGTATACCAAAAGTATTTTATAAAATAAACAATATTACTTTCATTACAATGCACGTGTTTTGCTTATTTAAAAGATTTTAATAAAATTATAAAACTTTTTTTTTTGTTCCGGCAAAGTTGCCCAACTGCCGCATCCAACGTTCTTCCACAGAGGTACTCGATTATTAATTTGCTATTTACTAATATTTTATAAATAATTGTATTTATTTCATTAAGATTTTCTTGTTTGTTTAATTTCCAGATTTCAAGCCTTCAAGCACTAGGTACACTGGAATCGAGTGCACCTACTGCTCATTTTATCTTGGTCATAATGAGTGCACCTATTGCTTGGATAAATCAATCATAACTTCCCTCCAAATCTTCTTTACCACCACTTTGTTTCAAAATCATACTGTACAAAATCACAGAAACAGATGGATTTGTTTGCCTACTCATGTCTCAGCCCAGTTCAACCCAACCTGAAAGGATTTCACTTTTGAGTTCCTGGCTTACATGTGCCTTGAATGGGAAATGAAACAAAAAGGAAAGTTGCTGGAGCCTGTGACCTGACTCCTCTGCCATTCTGACATGCCAACCATGGTTGTCTTTATTGGAGGCAAAGATACACAATTACCAAATTATCACAAGAGTAGTGCACCCAGATACGGGTTGTGAGATAAAATAAATCTTGTATATTTTCTGAACTTAAACCACAAACCCACCAGAAAAAAATTTCATCAAAGAGATAGGCGTTACAAATGACCCTATCCAGTTACGACATTAATTCCCAAGGAATCAAGCAAAAAAGATCAAATACAATGTACTTTGAGTAATAGAAGTTATTTTGCTCTTGGTTATTGTACATTTAAAAAGTTTTAAGTTTCACTGTCCAACATAATATTTCATGTGCATCGCCTTAATCATTCAGACACAATAACTAATGTTCATTTTGTGCACATTTGTGTACATATTATTGTTCATTCCTTGTTTGATTTCACATACGAAAACCAAACTTACAATTACTATAAAATACAAAGGTTTTTAGACTTACAGTTTTAACTGCAGACTTCATAGCAGGATTGGCCTTCAAAAAGAAATTACAATATCCAGTAAGATATGCAAAAGTTCAAAGTCTGCTCAGATATGTATAAATAAACAAATAAATTTTAAAATACCTTATTTTTCACAGTTTTGAAAAATGCACTTCCCTCTTTACGCATTGTATGTGTCCATTCTTTATATTGTTGTTTCAAACGAGAACTGGATTTCCCACAATAATTGAAAGCTTCCATTTCAAATTCATCAGAAAAACCCAATCCAGAATTTAGAATATCCAAGCGTTCTTCAATAAACTGATAAAAAAAAATTTTAAAAAAAGGATAAACAATATATTGACATTCAACACTGTTCTCAAAAACATTCAAATACAAAAGAGAAACACAAATAATTTAACCTTGATATTATGAAATAAAAAGTGTAAAGCATAAAGTAAAGAGTGATGTGGCATCTCACTCACTTTTTACTGTACACTCATTGATAACCAATGCCTCAATACCTCAACCAAGAATGTAACTTTGTTAAGAAGTCACTAATTGCACTGTAACAATAATTAGTTACCTTTATAAAAGCACCTATTTTAAATTTATATTACCTTTGTCACACCCACACTGAAAGCAAAATACTATTTCTTGATTAAACCATCCATAAGAGACCAATAATTAAATTCATTTAAAATTTATTTACACATTTCAATTAGTGGCCAACATGAAGTATATTTACCTGTTGAAAAATCTGCAGTTGTAACATCTTGCGCATAAATGGTTGCATAGAAGACGGTCTGGATTCTACAAAAGCTTCTTGGTCAAAAGTAATTTTATGACCCAACTGGAAACGAAGTGCATCTCGATAACCTCCAATTAATATTACTAATGCCCGCAGAAACGTCCTAGACACTCCATCTCCCAGCAGTCCAGAACGACTCCGAAGCTGACGTTTAAGGTGGGTAACCTTTAATGAGTAAAATATGTGTGTTTTCAGCTTAAAAATGACTGCTTTGACATCTTTAAATTCTGTTTGTTAATGATCTTGTTATTACAAAGTTAATTTACTCTCAAATTATTCTCCAAAGAGAATGTTTTTATTCTAAGAAGCAACAATGAAACAATTTTTTTTTATGAATAAAAATATTCATTTAAAACTAAGCTAGTGGTGTTTGAAATTATTTTTACAATATTAAACAAATGTCTGTAGTTTGTTTTTACAACTCATTTATTGCTACTTTGCTACTAAATGAGCACATGAGTACACCACTTATGTATTCATACAAACTATTTATTTGAAGAAGTCTCAGATACATACCACTTCTGGAGGTAATGACTGCACATCATCAAAAGGTGATTCTATAGTATTGTTATCAACATCAAATATTACAACATCACCCAAATCATTTCGCCGAACACGCTGTTCAAAAAATAAGAAAAATATGAACACTTTTATAAAAACTTCATATTGAAATTTTTTTTAAAGTTCTCCACCCGAAGGTAGGTAAATTTTGATGGACTAAAAATAAGTACTCACCTGAAATACAGATTGTGGAACTCCAATTAAGAATGGCATTGGGGCAAGTAAATAATCAGAAAGTACCCGAGGTAGAACAGGTATAAATATATGTTGCCAATGCATAGGATAAAGTAAAGCATTAGCTGCCTGTACACATGAACTTAGCCTTGTGAATTTTTGAGAGACGAAAATAACTCTTCTTTCATGTAACATTGAGGCAAATATTATCATCATATTGGACACATCAACTGATTTATAATATTCAGTCAGGTTGCGCTTTACAAAGGACAAAAGAAAGCACAATATCAATAAAACACATACAATAATAATTATTAAAATTTGTTATAGATATTATAACATTAAATCAAAACCTTCAATAAATGTTTCAATTCAAATATTAACTCACATCATCTGGTATACTAGGCAGTTCAAACTGGCTGGGACACGAGCACACAAATGTCTGCATGAAAACAATAATATACATACATTTTTAAAGAAAGTACCAAAGACAAATTACCCTATGATGTTTAATAATATAACAAATATAATTTCCACCTCAACTTCACTACCTATCATGCATCAATATTAAACTTCAGCTAAAACCTACTCTTTAATTCTCTTTGCATTTATTTTTGTGGTCTCCCATCTGAAATGTATACATTTAGTATGCCAAAAATATGCTGACAATATTTGTCCTGTGTATGGTTTAGGTGCCAAATGTTCTTCACAGATGACTAAAAATAAGCTTTTCATTATCGAGGACCAACTAATGTGGATTCTGAGTATACTACTTATCCAAGGAAGTAATTTACTACATACAGGAACAAGAAAGAATACAACACTGTAAAAGGGCAAAATCAATAATATTTGCTTCAAATAATAAATATTGTTTCAAAATAACACTATACTACCTAGTTTTGGGATCACCTCAAAATTTTCTCTGGCATCTTAAAACACTTCTACAAATTTTTTGAATTTTTCTGTCTTTTCTAGATCAATGAAGTGCCCCCAACTTTTTCCAGTTTCTCAGTAAGTGACCACACATTTTTAATACAAAAGCAGTAGAGCCCAGGAGTATAGGCATTTTTTTTTAATAGGCAGGCAAAAAGGCTTTTATTCTGACTAACATATGAGTGAAAGAAACAATAAACATGTACTAATTTAAAAGAAATTAGGCAAAAAAAAATCTTTACAATCTTGATTGTACTAGATTTTGTTTTTTGATTGACTTGCACATCCCATCTGTCAAATACTATTTTTCAGTTTCCCTATTGAAAATTGTTGTTAGGGGCACAGTATATTTTGGTATGATGACTATGAATTATTTTAAATTCATGATGGGTCTCTCAATATTCACTCATTGTACCAACAAAATGCTTCAGCAGACTCTCTTTTGAACGCAGTAATGGCATCAGTGAAAATGCTATTATAGTTTCCCTTTTTCAAACTTGTGTAATCGCCAACACTGAGAAGGGTTGTCATGTACAGAGAGCTGTCTTCACAAGGGATTGGAGGCCATACTCAACCACATGAGTGAACAGTTAAATCACTCAGGCATCAATGAAAGAAATTAAAAAACTTTGTCTTGTATCATCTATAGGAAAATCACCTCTATGAGTTAAATTATGCCATTAGCTTGAATTATTTTTCCTCAGAAAAAACAGACACAACCGTTATAAGTTTACCGACTGTTCACCTGGTCTGTTTTTCAAGACATTCATTTCAGTGAATATGTGTTAAGCGAAGTTCTCAAATAGTTGTTCTCATTTAGACTCTAAAATATACAGCAAAAACATTGCCACAAATACCTTTGAATTTACTATTATATATTGCACTATATTTACAGAAATATAAACATTTTCCCAGAATAAGAGAAAAGGTACAATGAGAGATAAATTCAATTAGTGGAAGTGGAGTTTGAGTCAAGATGAATTTTAAAAATATCTAACCCCATTCCAGACCCAGATATTATCATTACCCTAAATTTCAGGCTTTTATGACCTATACTCCTACTCAGGCTTTTATACCTATACAAAATTATAAGCTCCAAGGAATATAAAATTTTCTTTCATTTATCAGAAACAGAACTTGAGTGACACTAGCCAACTTATTTGAATTGAAAAAACATAAACCTAACTGAATGCTTCAAGTAGCATTAGTGAATAATAAAAGTAACAATAAAACATATTATTTTGTCACAATTACTGCAAACTTTTTGTCATTACTACAATTATTTTCTACAACAAACAAGGGCAAGGTGGTGAACCAATTGTTTTCATTTCACTGAGCCTAACATCCATATGGAAAACAAACATTTTGGCTTAAACAGATTATTAAAAAAGATGAGATATTGCAGGTATCACAATAAAATTCTCTCTTCATTAAGATAATCCTAAATTAACTATATAAATAAAAGATTATCTTTTAATTTAATAAAATAAAAATAATTTTATAAACAATAATTGAGAAAATGTACATGAACAAATATTTAATTGAATTTGTTTTTTCACTCCAAACTGTTTGAACATATAATAAGACACTTAAAAAATATATTTTATTTGCTCATAAAAACATACTCTCTATCATGCAAGTTTTAATTCCAAAAAATTGGTATCAAATTTCACATAATATTTCATGTTGGATTCCCATTGCAGGATACTTATTTTTTAAAAATCTAAGTTTTCTCTACTCACCTCATGGCCATTGTACACAACAGGAAGAGAACCTCTATCAGGAACTGGACTTGAATAAACTGCTTCCAACAACTGCCATAAATCTTCTGCCTTATTACTTACATTTAATGTAAGTTCGGCAATTAAATCTAACAATCTTATGATTTGATGTCATCCATTTACAAAAATAATTTAAGGACATGTAACCAAAACATTAAATTTACAAACTTATTATACAGTAAAGTTCTTCACAAACTTGTGTGAAGGCTCTAATGCTTTGACATGTGGCAACAAATGACAAATATTCACCTATAGAAAGTGTCATGCCATGGGAGGTAACTCAGGACCACTAAGGCTGTTTCAGTTTTTGGATCATGTCTGCAGAATCCGAAGGTCCATTTTGAGTCAACACTTGTTAGTACAAAAGAGTACAACTGAACAGAATTGCTGAAATAAGTCCATGGGAGATAAAATCATGACAAAATTTATTCAATCAACAGCAATAAACAGAAATTAGTCTAATAACCTACTTTTCAAATTCACACGGATAAGCAAATTTTGGTACAGACTTAAGAACTTCTTCATCTTTATAACTGTCCGGATATTTCTGTATAATCCAGGCATCTTGTCCTCCCGCTTGGGGTCGAACAACTTCACAAAAGCACTGGAATACATGTTTCACATTCTCTCTACAAAATAAGGAAGGTTGAAATGTAAACAGTGACCCAATAAGATGCTGAATAATTATAAAAAAACAGAATGTCTCATACCTTATCCGCGAGCCCATTATAATGTGTATCCACAACTACACAGTGTACCATTTTATCAAAATCATGAAGTTGTCATCTCTCCTCTGACCGAGTTCCACGCCCCCGTCATCAATGTTTGCCATTATCTTCGTTTCTCCATAACATAATCAAAGCAGCGCCCTCTAGATAAGTTTAACAAACGAAGGTGTAGTTGCGTCGATTTCTTTTCTGCAGTTTTCAAAGAAAATCAAAATACGAATTGTGTTCTGCTGTTTGCCACTTATTAATACATTTGTCAAAATGTCAAAGTTTTCTGTGAAACAAAACTGTGCAAAAATCACGATGTCTTTTCATCATTGCAAAATCGGGGTTTTTACGGATGTGCACGTTTTGGGGCCCATAATTCTGGAAACCTTTCAAAGTGTGAGAAAAAATCTTAATCTTAAAATATAAATAAAACGGTCTTTGAAATAACGTATTAATTTCTGGTTTGTTGTTTTTAATGAGTTTTAATCTTGAACCCCGCAAACATAGACTTCAAGCAAACAAAAATTTCGCAAAATTTTGTGATAAATGGAGGGGGAATTATTATATTCAAGATTAAATTTTCATGTTTTTTTTAATTTAACTACTGAGGATTATTTTCAAGTTTCTCTCTTTCCCTCCCCCTTTCTTGCTCACCCTACTCACTCACTATCTTTCTTTCCCTCTCACTCTCGATCACTCGCTATCTTTCTCTCCCTCGCTCTCTTGCTTTCTCGCTTTTCCCTCTCTCTCTCTCTCTCTCTCTCTCTCTCTCTCTCTCTCGCACTATCTCCCTTTCTCACTCTATCTCTCTTACTCGCTGTTTCGCTCCCTCCTCTCTCACGCACTCTCGTTCTTCCTTTCTCACACCATTCCTCCCTCTATTGCTCTATTTCTCTCACATTATCGCTTTCGTTCTCTCCCTTCCACTCTTTCCCTTCTCGCTCTCTCTTGATCACTCGCGCCGTATCTCTCCCTCCCTCTCCTTTCTCTCTCTCTTACTGTCGCTGTCTCCTTGTTTAAATATCATCTTTAGTTAAAAACCTAAATGTTTGAGGTCTATCACTATTTGATATGAAATTGAAACAAATATTTCGGATACAGTGATCACAATGCACAAATTCTTACCATTCGCAAGAAGCACGAACCGTGGCCTAATAAAAAAAATACACGTTTGAGTAGATTGTTTACTAAAAGTAAAATAAAATTATTCATTCATTACTTGCTGCAGGAATCATGGGATGCGGTTCACAACACTGTTGACACAAACGATAAAGATATTTTTTAACGCTTTTATTTCATTTTAACACTTGCTTTCCTCTTCAAAAACGAAAATTAAATATTTTACGGAAAAGCTATTCTTGAAGAACACAACGGTTTAGGACATCACATAAAAACAAACGTCTTTCTTTCCATTTATAAGCATTAAAACGTATCCCAAAATTTCCCCCTCTACTTAAAAAATACAAATCATCGTTAAGAAAAGTCATAAGGCGGGCTAAAATCATGTAACATGATTAGGATATTTTGCACTAAAATAATAAAACAAAAGTATGAATAATGTAGCAAAAAATTCTACCAAAGCAACCAGAAACCTTGTAGAGAATGTTGTCTTAAAAAATAACGATAAAAATGTCAACAGTGACTAGTTTTTTTAACCAATTATTTTCGCGAATTGCTGCCGATCTCACTAAGGAACTCCAGCCACAAGTTGGGTTCCTTTACCTACACCGCACAAGACAAATTACCAACTCACATACTACTACTATTACGCTACAAACGAAAGACTCAGAAAACTT